ACCGGATTAAGAAGCAACCAAATGGCAAACCCAAAATAGTCCATTTCAACAGGCTTGCACCCTACAAAGGAGATCACGGCCAACAAAATGAACAACAAGTTCGCAACATCTCAACCAAACCAAGAGACGTCGTGCCCGAGACACGTGGAAAGGCGGAATTGAAACTGTTATATAAGGACCTCTTCACCTTGCCAGTGGATTATGCCTTGGCCCACTGCGTAGCAGAAGATCTGAGAGCGTCGCGAGGTATAGCCACAGTCTTCAGGAAAAAGTTTGGAGGGACTGAAGATCTTGAGCGTCAGAGACCCGCCATTGGTACCACCCTTCACCTGAAGCGCAATGGACAGCATTTGTTCTACCTCGTTACGAAGGAAGCGTCAAGCCAGAAGCCCTCCTACGAATCGCTGAAGAAAAGCCTGCAAGACCTGCGAGACAAGCTTCTTCGGATTGGAATCAAAAAGCTTGCTATTCCCAGGCTGGGATGTGGTTATGACGGACTGGAATGGAGGATTGTAAGAAATATGGTGCAGGAACTTTTTGAGAACACTGGCATCGACATTGTGGTCTGCGTATACAACCCATGGGGAACCGGAGACATTATAGGTCCAGAAGATCCCAAACTTCGAGAGAAATCTGTTCTGGGTCAGAACAGTCTTAAGGAGGGGGCAGTGTTACAAGTCAGGAGCCCCGCGCAACAATAGCCAGGCGCCGTCACAAAGGGTTGTTTGTTTACACGGGTTTCTCAGAACGCACCACTGATAGACAAAAGACCTATGTCAACGGACTACCTCAATAGGGGCCCTAGAACCTTCTACTTCTACGCCGGTTTGTAAACAACGGATGCTCGAACTCTCCACTCTAGAATGTTCCACGAAAAACTTATATAAGTGACCGTCCTCCAGCACACGGGAGTTGAGTTGAGCCTTCCGAGAATCGTCGCAGCAAGCGCGTGTCGGTGTTAGTGACCAGTGCTAGTGCTTGTGGCAGTGACAGTGCAGTGACGGTGTAGAGACAGTGTAGTGACACTAGTGACAGTGTAGTGACAGTGTTGTAACAGAAGTGGTAAATCCTGTAGATGCTAGCTGTAAGTAGAAACATTGTAAATTAGAATAGGCTTTAGCTAGGTTTAGATAGGGTTAGTTAGGTGTTAGGTAATTCTAATATCTGTAAATATAGAATAATTAGTGTAAATAAATAGTTACTATAAAATCGCCAAGTTTTTATTGTAGAGAACCCGTCAAGCCCGCAACATTATTTATAGTAACTGTAGGAAAAATACAGGGTGAATAAAAAGTCAAGACCCCCCCTCTAATATTTTTTCAAGTAAATATACAGAGATATCCTTTTGGTGGTCGAGCAATCTTAGCAGGAAGTTTCATTTTATCATTTTGAAATTTTTGAGTGTCCCCCCAAAAGGGGGTATTCGGGGGGCAACTCAAATATTTTAAAAGTAAACCCCCTTCAATTGACACCTCATTTTGAAGTGTTTACAAAAACTTAAAGAATGGTGAAAATTAGAGGTCGCTATCTCTTCTCTATCCAAAATGGTAGCCCGTCAAATGTTGTGGAAAATTAATGGTAAAATTGTTAATATTGGCTGTCATTTTGGATAGAGAAGAGATAGCGAGCTCTGGTTTTCACCATTCTTTAAGTTTTTGTAAACACTTCAAAATGAGGTGTCACTTGAAGGGGATTTACGTTTAAAATTTTTTAGTGTCCCCCAAAAGGGGGGATTCGGGGGACAACTAAAAAATTTTCAATAGAAACCCCTATCAAGTGACACCTCATTGTGTAGTGTTTAAACAAACTTAAAGAATGGTGAAAACCAGAGCTCGCTATCCCTTCTCTATCCAAAATGACAGCCAATATTAACAATTTTACCATTGATTTTCCACAACATTTGACGGGCTACCATTTTGGATAGAGAAGAGATAGCGACCTCTAGTTTTCACCATTCTTTAAGTTTTTGTAAACACTTCAAAATGACGTGTCACTTGAAGGGGGTTTACATTTGAAATATTTGAGTTGCCCCCCGAATACCCCCTTTTGGGGGGACACTCAAAAATTTCAAAATGATAAAATGAAATTTCCTGCTAAGATTGCTCGACCACCAAAAGGATATCTCTGTATATTTACTTGGAAAAATATTAGAGGGGGGGTCTTGACTTTTTATTCACCCTGTATAATGAGTAACACGAGTGCAAACTGCCTTTACCCACTAGTTACACAAATAATTATTCTTATTGCATAGATCTCTGATTCATATGGTTTAATCTAATTTTTGTTAGTAAGGCATTATACGATTTAACGACAATAAAGTCATATCCAACATTCCATGGTTAGTTGTTAGAGGGAACAAAGTTTGTTGATATAACTTTAGGTTCTTATGTCACAACTTATTCTCAACCACATCACGCCTGAATTATACATGACTATGTTCTCCAAGCTTCTTATATTCTAGACTGCTCTTTGATTGATTGAATTTCAAGAAATGTGATTTAAATAAAAATTGTAATTTCAAAAGGGAATATAGCATGTGATGTTAAGTTGACAAAATGGATTTCCCTACTGTACTTTTATTCTGTACTGTAGTTCTATAAGCTTTTTGTATATAGAATGTAAATCTCGTAAAGTAATGAAATTCGTAATAAAAAATCACTTAAATTTCACTTTAATGTTGGATTATTAGTATGTTTTTTTTTTCACGCTGTTAAAATTAGATCAAATCAAATCAGTTTTATTTCCACAATATATAAACAATTTACAATTTTTCAAAAATATTAAATACAAATATATATAGTCTAGAAGCATTATACAGTAAATTGTTTACGTAAATTAATTCTAGTAAAATTAAATTAAATTACCCATCTGTACTTTCATGAAAACTTTGGTGTTAGTCTTTTAGCGAACTTCCCTATAGGGAAGTAGCTACTGTATTACCGTAGGTGGCACGGTAAGACCTAGACCCGGGACGATTTACTTTCTCATTTTGTTGTCCCCAGAGGCCAAACACACGATTTGTTAAAACTGTTATACAGTATGTGTCCGTAAACGCGATAACTCTAGTAATTTTGGCACGATTTTGATGGAATTTGGCTTAAAGGTGTAGGACCGGATAAGGTTGAGTGAGTTCGCGAACTAGCAAGATCGGGCCAAAAATGGGATTTTTAATCTTTATCCATAAAAAATAGAAATGTAAAATTTTCAACAAATCTTCTTGGAGAGCTTAAAAGAAAATCATTGTATTGAAGTTGAACAATTAAAAGTTACGGAGAAAAAAAAACATTTATAATTCCAATTTTTTGTGGAGAAAAGAAAGGTGTTCCAGTTTGCTTCTTTATGGATACATGTTGATTAAATTTGGCAAATTTATTCAGTTCATCCTGTAGTGTTACTATTCGGTCAAAATAACACTTGTAAACCTCCCGTAGCAGCAAATTTAAGTACTCGTTGAATATAATGTCAAATAAATGATAACAAATATGTCTTGTTTATAACAATATTTTTGTAAATATCAAATGAGACAAATTGAAATTCGCTTAGTCTGCAGGTTTGCTGAGGCGGGGGTATTTTCATATTTGGACCAAATTAGCTGAGCGAGCAAATGTAGAACTTTGGGAAGTAAAGCTTGTTTACCTCTAAGATAAACTACAATTTTACATTGGCTATGTTTGAATGGGCTATGCTTACTTATCTCAAATACATACATCCATTACATACAAAACAAGGAATCTAGATATTTTGTTAACAATTTGACCTACCATTGGTTATCACGATACTATTTGTTTTATAGCTGGTAGTGATGCTATAAAAGTGTTTCCAAGGCAGTATTTACTTATAAATGATGGCATACCCAGTTGTGGGAACTAATAAAAATAATGCTAGTAGACCAATACAACAAAAGTATGTTATTTCATAGTATTCGTGAATGCTTTATTTTTACATTCTGCATTATGGAGAATTTAAAACAATAAATAAATACATTTTATAGTACACATGTAGTATTGTTTAGAACTTTATAAACGTGATATACAAAAAATATGTTACAAGATTTATCTAGATGAACTTACACTTTACAGATCGGTTACCAACTAGGTTAGCTCCAGACCAATAGAGAATAACAGAAAGATATATTTTACGTCGTGTTGTTATAGCTCTGTCCAATCAATTTGGTAAACCATTTTGCTAAAGTGAATTTGCAGTCTTTGTTTATTAAGATTTTAAATATTTTAATCTAAAAAAAAGGTTAAGTTAATCTACAGTTCATTATTATTGATAAAAAAATGAATGATAAACTTAACCACACTTCGTTATTGTTGTGGTTTTTTATTAACTGTTGTTAATACAAGTAATTAACCTTTCGTACGTAACTAGTACTGACGTTAATCTAAAGGCTTATTCCATCTACAGTTATTATTCCCTCACAATTTCCAAAATTGTTTATACTGTACAAGAAACAAGTTAAGTTAATGTTTCCTTTGAATATTAGTTACTATTGAAAGTTAAATACTGCTTAGTCATATAAAGTACAATTTTTTAATACCCTGTGTTTTATAACGCTGAACAAAATGTAAAAATATAATTAAAAGCTGTATTTAATTTTATTGCTATGCATTTAAAATACATATGGATGGTAAACAGAGTATTCAGTATTATTGAACTAATACCGTATGAATTGAAATTACCCAATTTTATGTCCGTTAAATAATATCATTATTTGTGTTATCCATTATAACTATCAATACGGAACAACAAAACATGACCAGGATTACCAGTATTACTAACAAAACATATTCGGATTAATAAATGTTCTGGCAAACCAAATGATGGACAGCATTACTGTAAGGCTTGTGGTCGTGCCAAGGGTTGTTGTACGCATATTATTATATTTGCACTCTCTATCGTACATGGATGTGACGCCGCGCCGGGCGAAGCTGCTCTAGGGGTTGGTAGAGCGCATGTCCGCTAGAGCGCTCTGTACAGTCCAGGATCAGTTTCGCGTAGCGCTCCCTCTTGTGACATGTTCCCGTTCTGTAACACTACTTGGAAAATACGTAAACTCACAACGTCTTTTAAGTGGTTAAACACTGTTTAAAGATGTATTTAAGTGGTGAGTTTTACCTATTATTGTGTTCTTGTAAGTTTTATTTATAATAGCTAATAAAATATTCAATGGATATTTGTGGAAACTACAAATATGCATTACATTTAAAAGTTTATCTGCTTTGCAATAATTTTTTTTTTAACTTAGTAAAGTATTAAAAAGTTTTAAATTCAAAAGTGAGGATTAAAAAGTAACACTCAATCAAACAAAACTTTGCAAACATAACAATTCTTTTCATTCGTAATAAATCAGGTAACTTATATTTTTAGTAATTAATTTAGATTATAATTCAGAATTTAAAAATAATAAGACTTAGTTGCTGTTATTTTATATTTTTTTATCTCTTTGAAACTAAATTGATTTGTCAAATCGGTAATTTAACTTGCAGTGTTTATGTTATAATTTATATTTTGAAGTCACGCCTTCGTTTGTATACCAGTTTTGTACAAAACAATCTTCGTGAGTGGATTTTTCTTGTTGAAAAAATAAAATTACGTTTTGATCCATATTTTTTCTGTGTTTTACTACCAGACACAGATTTATATATGTCCAGTGGCAGCCATTTTTGTATAGAAAAACTTCCATCAGAATATACGTTTGAATTTGTAGGAGAATTAGTTAACTGTGGTAACACTTTGTAAATAGGTTACGCTTTTTAATTACTCAAACAATAAATCAATAAAAACAGGTACTACCATCACACGCCTGCTCACTTACAGCAAAGTATATGAACATTTATACAGCAATATTTTAGAAGTGCCTATATAAATATTTTTAAAAACTCTACAAAACTTATTTTGTGTCCGATTGCTTGACAATATTCCCACCTTTGATTGTCCAAACCTAATGACAATAAGCGTTATATCCCATGTTTTATTAACATTTGTTTGATTGGTATTTAAAGGCTATTTAGTTTTTAGGCTGATTGACATTGATTGAGCTTCAACAGGGATGAAAAAATAAAACATCATTTTGTACTGTATCTAAGCTAAATATTGCCGTTCAAAAACACAAAAAGAACTTAAACTTATTTCGTACGATAAAAAAATATTTTATAAAATCTACTCGTATCTTCAAGGGAAAAATACTAAGCATTGTAACATAATTTTAGTATACATATAATTGTTTGAAGACAAGCATACAAACATCGTCAGTTGCAAACTCAACACACCAAATTATTGAATACCTCATTGAACAGGTGTTTGGTAATAATAAAAACATTTTGACAAGATGTAAGTAATTTAGGATAGCTTAGTATGCCCAAGCAATGGTGCAGGATGACGCAATGTTTAGGCTACAACGTTGAAACAATTCTTTTAAGCCTTACTCGGTCCCGACCTTCGCATCATCTCGATCGTTAAACTTGAGCTCGGGTCGAATAGTCACTTGAAGCTCAAGTGATGAAATGTACTGTTATCACCATTTAGTCTACCTCTAATTAAAAACCATGAATGTTGAGCCCGACCATACATGATGTTACATTAATGACAGTAAGTAATAAAGTTAAGTAATACAGGCTAAGTACATCAATTATTCTATTTTATAGGGGGATTCATCTATGTAATATAATTTTATGTAACGCACATATAATGTATATAGCCATATTTGTTACAAAATATAGCTTTATAAGTTTATGTAACGAAAACTGGCCTATGCTTACATTTTATACATGTTATGAAAAAAGAAAGGCTACTCGTTGGCTGTCATTGTTTGTGAAAACGTTTGTTAAAAATCTATATTTGAAAATAATTTAACTTTACTATGAAGATCGAAGAAGTTTCATGAGATATAGGAAACGGCCTTTGCATGAATTTTGTATAAAAAATGTTTAAATAGTCATGTCATTTCATAAAAATATTCATACAAAATTGTCACGTAGTTTATGCTATAACCCAAAAGAGACCCCATAAAAATATTATTCATCCAAGTTGTGTATTTACGTGTTGATACGCTCAAGTATGAGGAACGAGTTATGATTGTTATTCTGCGAGTTCTCTCACAAAGATATTGTTCGCGCAGTTATTGGGTTGTGGAATCAGAGATCAAATCAGTTTTCCAATTTGTTTGTAACAAATGTTTTTACTTTTATGTCATTCATTGTATGTGGGGGAGAAACGCAATAATGAAATAAGATACTAAACAAATATTTTCACCATTGTTTTATCATCAACTCTGACATGAACTGGACATTTAAGATGTTAAATGATCATGATTCGGTGGGAGTATTACAGAGGCTTCCATATTATGTCCGTTAAAAGGTAGTGACAAAGCAGGGATTATTAATGGATTCAATTTACAGTTGGAGAACGTAATAGTGTTACCTTTTCGCTCTGACAGGCTAGTTGAAAGGTCTTGATAGCTTTATCTTCATACCACGAGTTTTGAAATTTAATGAAACATTTTAATCTCTATAAAAGATGTTATTACAATGTTGGTATATGTATTTCACAATTAACAGTATCTCTTTAAAACTTATTCTACAACCAAATTAATTTTGGAACAAGCGTTTTGTCCTACATTTAATTAACTTAAGTCACTTAAGACATTTTACAGATTGTTGGGATAATATATTCTTAACACTGTTTTATTTTCTGCGTGAATATTGATACACTTTGTCTCATTTTATCAAAGAATAGGATTTTTAGCTTTTTAACAGTAAAATAGTACCAAGGTGATGCAAATTGTAAATACAATTTGTACATTTAGTATATTTATTTATAAAAGCTAATTATTATTTTAAAAATCTACTTAGGCCTACCCCAATGTAAGTAAGCAGTTACAGATCTATTCAAAAGTTATATAGGCTATGTTTCAAGGATATGACGGTTGAATGATTATTACTATTTGATTTTCAAACTAAATAAAGGCAATATTTTTCAGCAACAGAGTATACGGTAGATATAATGGCGTTCAGGTTATAACAGCGTTTACCTAGTCACGTGACATGCTCGCGCAACCTTGCTAACGTCATTGGAGCTTATTAGCAATATAACCCATGCTACGCTATTACAGGGCGGTTTTAGGATCTTAAACTTAATATAATTATAGTATTTTAATATATTAATATATTTACAGTGCTAATTAAACCGGAAATTGTTAATGAAAGTTATAACATTTGAATTTTAAAGATTCAGATGCTCACTATTAATGCTCTTTTTATCATTAAATTGTATATTCATACTACACAGGCTATAAAATGGTACTATCCTATATTCGAGAAACAACTTTCTCCTCCTCCTTCCAGTGATAGAGCTCAATCTCCTTTCCTTCTGTGATTCCCCTTATCATGAAACGCCGTACTCGTATATGTATAAGTTTTTTGTTTAACAATTTTATTGGTAAGAACAATATTTGGTGCCATAATCTCAATATTTAGTTTAATATCTTTGTGCATAAACCATAGAGAATTATTAACTGTCTACTTACTCCTCAAATATTTAAGCCCTACTGCTTAAGCATTAATAATTTATCCATATAAAATTAACATAGTCCGACGAATTGAATATTTTTTTTAATATTGAAATTATTATGCCATTACCCGAAATTCTTATAGGCTTTATAACAAAAAACCCCAAGCTACTTACGCTATTATAAAAATTTGTGTTTTTAATATTTGTGATATTTTAAAGGAGATATTTTAGTGTAAATCCAATCAAGGAAACGGGAATTCGCTGAGTCTGCAGGTTTGCTGCGACGGGAATACAAAAAAATATTTATTTAGCACTTGCATCAAACAAAATCTGTATCACAGCAATTAACACTAGTGGATTATCTAACTTCTGTAGTTGAATGACGTTGACGCTTTGAAGGGGGTTAGTTTCAAGTGGGACAGTATGCCACACTTCTTGAGACTAATTGTCTTTTTTATTTAGTTAATAGTCTTAGAGAAATACCTGTAAACTAGCGTATGCATCTACAAGTTTAAGCATCAAAAACAAAAATATTGCCAATGCCCAAAAATTAGTGTTAAAGTTTTAATGCTACAAAACTGTCATCCAACAATAAACAATTCCATTATGTTTGTAATAATATCTTCAAGTTTTCTTTTCTCTAAGTCACACAACTAGAACTAAATTACCTTATGAAATACGGAACATTAAAAGGTATAAAACTTACAATCTACGTAGAAAAAGAAACATACATTATACGTAACATTAAACACAATTACACCCTTCGATTACGCTTAAGATCTAAGATCGAGTCCAAAGTCTATTACATAGATCGAGAAGCACTTATTGGATTACACCTTAGTGTGCGGAATCTGCCTCGCTTGGGGCGACGACGTTGAGCTGATGAATTTAACATTAACCGTACAAAACAGGTTTAAATAAGAAACGCTACGGTATAATATTATTACTTAAACGAATTATGTAATAAGGTCTAGGTAGCCTTATATACTAACTACTAGTTTATAACCTTTGACATTGAATGTCATTAGGATCAAGGTTTGTTAGGATGTTTTTTTATATTTATATAATTCATTTATTTATTAATGACGTCAAAATCACTATATTCACGAAGTTCCTCATGAATGTGGACAATGTCAGAGTTTTTTTCAAGAATAAGATCTTTAGATTACAATATGGAACCGCCAAATCTCCATTGATGGCATAGATTGTAATCCAGTGTAGAAATAATACCAAGTTTGTTTATTTTCTAAATGGTCAAATCATTAAGCATCATCATGACTTTAGTCATAGAACCAAAAACTATGATTCAACTACCATGTTGAGGACTCAAAACTAGAGAAAGGTGAATAAGGGGAAGGATCTTGGGATCAGTTTACACCAACCCTAAGCTCAGACGAGCATATTGCAAACATCGTCAATTGGGCCAACTCACACCTGAGATTTGTTCATAGGTCAACAAAGAACTAAAAAAAAAAAACATTATCTTATTGTCCTTAACGAATCACTCCTTTGACCTATCATTAAGTACGGTATGTCTTTATAATCTGGGGACCTTATCAAGTGGGCCACTTGGAAATGATTGTTGGAAAAAAATCT